AAAAAAACAAAAAAAACAAAAAAAAAAACCAAAACACTGGAAGAGAATTGAGGGGAAAACCCTGCAGGCAAAAGACTGATGATCAGCAGCTCTCCCGGTACCTGCTGTGTGCTCCCGCCACACCAGTCTAGAGATGGAAATACTGCTGCAAAGGACTTTGGGAGTCAGGGAGTCAGCCATACAGTGGTTGGGGGAGCCAGAGCCCTTGGACAAGGAAGGTCTATCCCCTTTCAGATACCACTCCTAGGGGCTTGGTGGTGGAGAAAGCGGACACATAATAAAGTAGACATTGCTATTTTATGGAGCAGAGTAAAAAGACTTTTAAAAAGAAAGGCAGAAGCCAGGGCGACATCTTGGTGGCTGAGAGGGCCCAGTGGTTCCCAGCACCCACAAGGAAGTCGGGGTTCCGGGGAGCCCTCTTCTACCTGCACAGGCACCCTGCAGGCATGTGGTGCATATACATACATTCAGGCAGAACACTTAAGCACATAAGAATTAATCTTTTGTTTTGTTTTGTTTTGTTTTAATTAAATGACGTTTCAGGCTGTCAGTGAGCTTCAAACAAAAGTTCTCTGTTCCTGGAAGAAATTTGGTTTGGTCTGGTTTGCTTTGGTCTTCTTGGAACACAGCTGGACCTGAACTCCCTGTATTGAGGATGACCTTGCACTTTTGTGTATGTAGTGTTGAGCCTACCCTGCTCTTGAACTTCTGGGTCTCATGCCTCAGTCTCCCCAGTGCCGATACTTTGCTTTTTCACGTGTGTACCACCAAGCCCTAGTTATCCAGAGCTAGGGATTAAACCCAGGGCCTTCAGCCTGCTAGGCCCGAGCTGCAGCCCAAGAAGTCTGATGCAAATATGGGGAAACTGACAAGTGGGTGGGGCTAACCCAAGATTGTGCAACAAATGACTGGACCTAAATCCTGGGGAAGGGGTTGGGGGTGAGGCGCAAAGCTTGGTTCACCTTTAGGAGAGAGGAAGGGTACTTAAGAGAATTGCAAAATCTTCCCCGGAGGAAGGCAGAGAAGTCTCCTGGAGAGAGGCCGACATCTGGGCAAAGTTTCCTGGAAAACCTTTTTTTCAGGAGACTGGCCCCCTCCCCAGTTGCGGATTCATCCCCTGAAAGTCAAAGGACAGTTTGCTCAGATCTCCCCACCCCACCTTTCTTTCTGGTCACTGTTTCCTCGTCCGCAAAATGGACCTTGAACTTCGGGAGTTGCCTTAGAAATGGGTCCGCTGGGGCTGTGGCGCAGCCCCGCTGCTCTGTGAGGTGGATCCCGGTTCTTTCTGTGAATTCGTCCCTGAGGCTTTCCCTGATTTCGCCTTGCTGGGTTCCTCTGAGGTGGTGAAGCTAGACATCTGCTGATCCATGAATATTCAGGAAGGGAACTGGAGCTCCTGGGCCCCCCTGCCAGCCACCAGCCCCTCTGGCGGCTGTCCTGCCCGCCAGAGCCGGGCCGCTGACATACCCAGCAGCTGCTTGGGCCCCAACTGTTCACATTGTTTGTTCAGCACGGCAGGGGATTTTCCAAGCCCCGGACATGCTTTAGGGGGTGGGGGAGGCTGCCAGAGGGCTCGAAGCTTCATGTTATGTGGGGCTTTTCTCCCCTGAAATCCAAGCCTACAGCCCTGCCCCTGCACCAGAGCATTTGAAGCTGCTGGGCTGAGAGCCCAGGCTTGCCTTCCACAACTCTGAATTTGAATCATGGAATCTGGGGCTTTAGAAGAGAAAGGGCTGGATGCTAAGGGCAGCAAAGAGCGTTTGTGTAGCAGCTTACCGTGTGCCCAGGGTCTTAAAGAATGGGACTTCTGGCGTAGCTGTGTGGTGAGCTTTTGCCTGACCTGCACAAAACCTTTGGTTCTATGCCCAGTACCTCACCTAAAAAGAATGAGCGCCTGTACCTCTTGAGCGTTGTCCATTAGGCTCTGCCCTTGAACCCCTGGCAGGCAGCGGTTGGTTGATTCTCACAGGCTCAGTAGCATCTGCATTTTAAATACCTGGAAACTGAGTCTCAGAGAGGAAACCTAGCTGTCACCGCTGACAGGTAAAGTGAGACTGGGACCTTGATCTCTGTGTGTGTGTGATGTACACATCCCTGGCACGTATGATGTGTGTACAGGTTCACATGAGGGTGTGCATGAGGAGGTCAGAGGTCATCCTTTTTTTAAGGTGAGGGCATGGATGAGATGGAGTTCCCTGAAGCTAAGGGTGTCCTTTATACCGGCAGATGGGGACGCTACAGCTGAGAAGGGAGACTGGGGAGGAGGTGGCCTCGAGCTGTCTCAGCGGCTAAAGTAACATGAAACTTTATTCACTCTTGGCCTGTCTGCTCAGACTGTGCATTTGCTGTCTTGTCCTGACATCACGTGTGCAAATACCACCACTAAAGCTATTGCATAGTGATAATATAATAAATTATGATAAATAATTAAATTATTTTAGAATTTTTTTATTTGATGTGTGTGAGTGTTTTGCTTGTGGATATGTGTGTGGAGGTGTGTGGGCCTAGGGTCCCTTAGAACTAGGCTTACAGTTGTGAGCCACCATGCAGGTGCTGGGAATTGAACCCAGCACCCTGCAAGGGTAACATACCCATTAATGGCTGAGCATCTCTCGAGTCCCCACCTTAGTTTTTAAGACAGGCTCTCACTGGACTTAGAGCTCATTGGCTAAACCGGGCTCCAGGGATTCACCTGTCGCGCCCCCCCCCCAGTATTGCGGTTACAGATGTGAGTGCTGGGGATCCAAACTCAGATCCTCACGCTTGTGCAGAAAACACTTTCTCAATGGGCCATCCTCCCAGCCCCTGGCACCTCCCTGCACCAGCAGAGGAGAGGCGACTGACTGCCTTCTTCCCTAGCACGAGTGTGTCACTCAGGCCAGCTCTGCCGCCAAACCTATTACTATCACCAGCATTATTATCGTTACCTTTATGAGTATAGGTATTGTGCCTGCAGGTGTGCCTGTGTGCCTCCTGTCTGCAGAGGTCGGGAGAGGGGATCAGAGCCCCGGGAACTGGAGTTCTAGATAGTTGTGAGCTGATGGAAATGCTCAGCCTGAATCCCAGACCTCTGGACAAGGAGTGCTCTTAACCACTGAGCCATCTCTCCAGCTCCTGGGCTATTTTGTTCTTCTTTGGATAGAGAGAAAACATGGACACACAGAGGGGTGTAGGTGTTGACCAGTGTGGCAGACAGAAGAACAGTGTGGGATGATGTGGCAATGGTGCTGGGTTTGCTCCGGAACAGACATCTGTGTCCCAGTGAATAAACCAAGACCCGGAAGAAGTGCCTGGCCCAAGGCCGTATGTTTTGATTGCCTAGCCTTCCTGCTTTGTCACCCCAGACCCGCCTCCTGAGGATGTCACCCCATCCTTAGTCCGCTTTCAGAGGTGCCACTCTGCCTTGCAGTGAGGAGTCGAGCCAGAGACTAAGAAGGGAGCTACTGAGTGTTTATGGGATAGGCCAGCAGGTCAGCTGCGATGAAGGACCCACATGGGGACCCATAGCTGCGTGATAGTGATGAGCCCTGGTGAAGCACTGACTGTGATAACAAGTATTTCCCAGGGGCTGGAGAGGTGGCTCAGTGGTTCAGAGCACTGTCTGCTCTTCCAAATACACCCGGGTTCAATTCCCAGCACCCACATGGCAGCTCGCAACTGTCTGTAACTCCAGTTCCAAGGGATCTGACACCTTCACACTGATGCACACAAAATAAAATTTAAAAAAAAAATTATTAAAAAGAAATCAGCATTTAGAAAAAGAAATCTTTCCCTTAGCGATTTTGCCTCCATCTAGGAGAGTGTGCCTTCTACTCTGATACTCCTCTTTCCTTCCTGGCAGGGACAGGGTGAGGTTGTACAGGCAGCATGTAAGTGTGTGTGTGTGTGTGTGTGTGTGTGTCTGTCTGTCTGTCTCTTAGTGCGCGTTCTCATACTTGTCTTACACTCATGGCACGTTTTCCAACTACATGTAGTTTTCCAACTACAGAAGTTTTCTAGCCTGTGATGTATATTTGCTTTGGTAATAGTGGTAGAACTGACCCATTGGATTCCTGAGGGAAGAAAACCACTGAGCCACCACACAGCGCCAGGCAATGCTACATCTTGTACACATTGTCCCAGTGGACACCCACCACAGCCCTAAAAGGAAAGAATCGCCATGTTTGTTTTAAACTAAGACACAGCTCACCACTTGCATAGAATTTACCATGTGTACAAGCATGCTTTCTTTCTTTTTTTTTTGACATATAGCCCAGGCTGGCTTCCAAATTGCTACATAGCTGCGGATGAGGATGAGCTTGAACTATGGATGCCCCTGCTCCATCCCTGTAGTGCTGGGGGTCAAACCCTGGCCTCATGCATGCTAACCAAGCTCTCCTCCACCATCCGAGCTACGTCGCCAGCCCACTGGGCTCCACCCTGTGGTTTTGAATATACTAATAAAGTTCTGTTGCCTTGGCCACCGTCTAATTCTAGAACATTCTCATCAAAAAGAAACCTCGTGCCCCTTAGCAGTCACTTCCCATTCCTCTCTGCTCAAGGGTCTTGGTGGCCGCTAATCCACTTTCCGACTGATGGACATTTCACAGACATGAGATCACAAAGTTTGTGGCCTCTGGTGACTGGTGTCTTTCCCTCAGCATAAAGTCTCCAGGGTTCTATGCACCAGCATTTGGAGCACTTCACCCTCTTGCTGACTGAGTAAAGTATCAGCCACTCATCAGATGAAAAATGCAAACATCTGGGTTGAGGCTACTTTCCAGCTGTTGTAATAGGCTGCTGTGAGCTTGTGTGTGTGTGTGTGTGTGTGTGTGTGTGTGTGTGTGTGTGTGAAGAAGCCAAACTATGGGGAGATGTTACCCAAGAGTAAGGAGCTGCTGGCAAAGGGAGAACTGGTTCCGATAGATACAGGGTCTTCCCATAAGTGACTGGCACTGGGTGGCAGATCAGGGACCAGGAGGCTGCACGCTCACAGCCCTGATGCTTCTTCCCCCTCACAGGGGAGCTGTTGCCCCAGGAGACAATGGTCAAGCTGAGCTGTGACGTGGGGCCGCTGCAGGTGATCCTGGGCCCTGAGCAGGCTGTGGTGCTGGACTGTAGCCTGGGGGCCGCCGCTGCCAGTCCGCCCACCAGGGTGACCTGGAACAGGGACGGAGGTGCTGTGCTGGAGCATGACAACCTGCACCTGCTGGCCAATGGCTCCCTGCGGCTGTCCTCGCCTCGAGAACCGGAGGACAGCGATGGTGATGAAGCTCTTGGGACCCGGAAGGTCGTTGAGGGCAGCTATTCCTGTCTGGCCCATGGCCCGCTGGGAGTGGTGGCCAGCCAGGTTGCTGTGGTCAAGCTTGCCAGTAAGTGCTTGCATCTGGGGTGAGGGCTGAGATTGGGAGACCAAAGGGACGGGATGGGGTGGGGAGAAGGATCTAAAGATAGTTACCTGCACCAGGACCAGGAACCCAGGTTCCCTGCCTCCTGTCCTGTCCCACTCAAGGGGTCCCCTCAGGTGTGTCTTCACTCCATCACCCTCCTCTTCCCACCCTTTGTTCTAATGTATAGGGCTGGCTTGTCAGCCAGGAAGAGGTCAGGGGCCCAGAGGTTTCTCTTCTCGTCCGTACCCACACAGCACAGGGTACAGGGATGTAGCCATGCCCTATCCTCCTGGCACTGGCTCCTTAGAGCCCTCCAGAGGCACAGACTACTAGGAAATGTGCACCTTTCTATAGTGACCAGGATGGTAATGTTGGCATCTGCCAGCACCATCTGACCAGTGGTTATTTCTTCTCTCTTGGCTACCTTGCTCTGGTTGACAACTGTGTCTCCCTTGTTCTGGATTTGCTTGGCTGTGTGTTTCCATGACTCCGTGTTCCGTGCCACTGTGCTTACTGTGTTTGCTCTCTTGCCCTTGCTCTCACTCTCTCTCATCACTATGCTCATCCCCAGCACTCTCAAACTTCTCTCTGCACCCCGAGTCCCAGACAGTGGAGGAGAACGGGACAGCACGCTTTGAATGCCACACTGAGGGGCTGCCAGCCCCCATCATTACTTGGGAAAAGAACCAGGTGACGGTGCCTGAGGAGCCTCGGTGAGTGTCCTACAGGGAGTCTGAGCCAATATGCAGGGCAGAGGGTTCTGGGGCATGCCTAGAACTGGGATTCTCACAGCCAAGGTGGCTCCATTCACCTAAACTCACCCAACCACTAGCCTGACTTCTAGCCCAGTGAGAAGGCTTCCTCTCTGGAAGATAAGCCGCCTGCCAGGCTGGGGTGCACAGAACTGGGGGACCGTCTACAGCCCTTCCTAGCACCATTTGCTTTATTTATTTATGACCACACCAGGAGCCACTGGCAGGTTGGCCTCCGTTCAGCTTGTTCTTTCCAAGGTTCTTCTGGTGTTTCCCCTGGACTCCTACTTCTCTTCTGGTCTCCACTCTACCCTGTCAGGCTCCTCCGGCACCTGATCAGCAGGCTGCAGGGTCTGTCTTGTTTCATTCTCCCCTTTTTTCATAAAGACAGTGGCTTGGCGGAACAATCCTGGGGAAGTTCCAGGTTGAAAGCCAAGCAGAGGACAACCTGCCATGGACTTCTGGCAAGTCCAGACGCGCACACAGCGGGCTAGAACCCAGAGGCTCGCTGCCTCTGTGGCTTCAAGGCTTGGTCCTCCCCCCATGGATCCTTACACATCTTTGGGACACTTCAAGCCCCCTGCTGCATGGAAGCAGGCTCCCCCTGGGTTCAGAACACTGGCTTCCAAATCACTCCCAAGTACCCCCAACTCCTTGACTGTCAGGCTGCCCCCACCCTTACTGACTTTTGTCCCGTGGTGGGAAGGGAAAGTGTAGAAAAGTCCCTGAGCACCTGTGAGCAGATAAAGTTGACAGACAGGATCCTTACATAGCTTGGCACATGCATTCAGCTCTGTTCTCCCCATATCTGTGAAATGACGTGGGAAGGACATTAAGCTGTAATTTCCCAAAATGTGATCTTTATAGCGTGTTTGTTTTTTTCTTTTGTTTTGTTTTGTTTTTAGACAAGGCCTCACTGTAGCACAGGCTGGCCTCAAAGTCAACATTAGCCTAGGATGACCCTGAACTCCTGATCTTGCTGTCTGCTCGGTACTGAGATAACCACTTACGTGGCCCTGGGAATGGAACCCAGGACTTGCTAAGCAAGTACTGTTAGTAACTGAGCTAGATCTTCAGCCCAAAGATACATTTTTTCTTGTTGTTTTGTTTCTCTCTCTCTTTGAGACAGGGTTTCTCTGTGTAGTCTTGGCTGTCCTGGACTCACTTTGTAGACCAGGCTGACCTCAAACTCACAGAGATGTGCCTGCCTCTGCCTTCCTGAGTGCTGGGATTACAGGTGCCGTGGCTGGATCCAAAGATACCTTTTTTCTTTTTAAAGATTTATTTATTTATTATTTATACAGTGTTCTGCCTGCATGTGTTCCTGTACGCCAGAAGAGGGCACCAAATCTCATTATGGATGGTTGTGAGCCACGGCATGGTTGCTGGGAATTGAACTCAGGACCTTTGAAAGAACAGCTAATGTTCTTAACCCCTGAGCCATCTCTCCAACCCCCAAAGAAACATTTTTAAAGTTCATATAAACAAAAAAGAAAGAAAATTTATCTCATTGCCTAACCTGTTATTTGGGGGGGGGGGGGAGTTTTAATTGTTTATTTGTTTGTTTTTTTTGACACAGGGCCTTGCTAGGTAGCCCAGGCTGGCCTCTGCGTCAGCTTCCAGTCTTAGAATTACAGTCCTGTGCCACCATACCTAGCCCCATTTATTAATTGTGGTTTTGTTTTTCTCTCATTGTTAGGTTTCTGTTTTTGTTTGAAACAGGGTCTCCCAGGCTGTCTAGACCTCACTATGTAGACCAGGCTGTCCTCATCAAAATAGTGGGGATCAGACTTCCCCTCCCAGCATCTAATTCAGGGATTATCCCAGGGAGCCACAGACCTCACCCATGAGATGGGGCTGCCAGCTCCCCGGCTCCAGCAGTGCTTGCCACCAAATCCTCTGAAAATTGATCCCGGCCTATAAATAGCCCAGGCTCACATGTCCCAGCACATTGTGTCAGGGAATAAAGAAATGTCTAAAACAGCAACTTGATTACGGCCAAGGTATGTATTTTTGCATGTGCCCAGATAAACAAATAAAAAAACCTGGCTGTCATAACCTCAGCCCAGTGGCTGCAGGAGATCGCATGCCTTAGAGTTGGCCCTGAGCGTTTGCAGTACAATTGCAGGCACGGTTTTGTTTGGTTTGGTTTTTCTTTTTCTCTCTTTTTTTTAACTAATGATAAAGGCTAAACACCCAGGTAGCATCCTGGTAGTGTTTGTTTGTTTGTTTGTTTGTTTGTTTGTTTGTTTTAAGGCAGAGTCTCTTAGAGTCTAGGCTGGCTTTGAACTCCTAATTCTCCTGCTTCTACTTCCCCAGTACTGGGGTTGCAGGCATGTGCCCCCACACCTGTTCATGAAGTGCTGAGGATAAAACCCAGGGTTTTGTGTACGATAGAAATTACTCTACCAATTGAGCCACACCCCAAACTTACTTACACTAATTTTGAATAATAGGGGGTACTTTTTTTCCCCCATGGGAGCCAGTCATGAATGAAACTAAAAATTAGAAGTCACCTACTTCTAAACCTACTAATGAAACAGTTCTTACCATTTTTAGTGTTCCATCAGGTCCTTTGAAATACAGGTGTGGCTCACACCTGTGTAAATGTGTTTGCAGTTTGTAACTTACAGTGTCCATGTCTCTTAAGGAATGTGAGCTCCTGGGACTGTGCAGGACAGGAATCAGTGGACCCTTGTTTAGATGAGAAAACGGTTGCCCAGACACATCCCAATCACACGCATCAGGACTACTTCTCTCTCTCCTTGCCACTTCTCCTTCTGTGTTGAAGCCCACAGCTACAAAAGTGTGGAAACACACACTTTTCACGTTTGGTAGTTTCATGCCGAGTGGTGGTGGCGGTGCATGTTTTGGGAAACAGAGGCCAGCCTGGTCTACAGAGCAAGTTTCAGGACAGCCAGGGTTACACAGAAAGAGAAACCCTGTCTCACCATCCCCTTCACTTCTCCCCCCCCCCAAAAAAAAAGAAAGAAAATTTCCTATCCCAACATTGGGAAGGTAGAGGCAGGAGGATCGGAAGATCAAACATCCTAGCCATACACAATGAGTTCCAGACCATCCTGTGATAACCTATCTCAATTTTTTTTTCATTTTGTAACACTCAACAAGTAAAAGTCCCCAATAATCCCCCATCACAGAGGAAGCCCCACGCACTATGCAAGCTTTGCCAATGCCAGCTTTTTCTTCATGCACCCCAACCTAGCCCTTAACCGCTTTCCGAAGCCAGGCTTGCTTCCTACACACTGTTTTGTGACTTCTCCCCTACTAAACACATCCTGGACACCTTTCAGAAGTCAGAGCCTCCAAAACCACATTGTAACAAAACCAGAAAAGGTTTAGACAGCCAGGAGTAGGGTGCGGGCCTTGTCTCTGGCTGCAGCCGCAGCTAAGAACGAGGCGTTGCTCAAGAAGCAGGTTCTCTCTCGGCTCTTCAGGCCAGTTCCCTGACACGACCAGACCCTTAGGGTTAGAGAGTGGGGGGATTCCCAGAGACACAGACTGGCTGGAGGAGGGAGGGAAAAGGAAGAGCCACAGATTGCAGCAGGTTAGGTAGTGTGCCACGGGGCCTCAGGAGGGCTCTGCTTGTTTGCCACTGATTTCTGGCGGCAGCAGGTTGGGTGCTGGCTCAGGTATTTCCCTGCATGCTCTCCTGCTTCACTGCCCCCACCTCTCTACCTCAGCACATCTGCCAGTGGATCTGGAGCTGAGGTGGGAGGCTGGGTGTAGACACAGGTTCAGCTGAGGGATAAATGAAGGGGCGATACAGCCATAGCAGGTTCCCAAGCACCTGCTTAGAGTGTCTTCCTGTGGCCTTCTTCAGTCCTTTGGCCACTTCACCGCTCTCACATTTAGGTTTCCTCAGCCCTTGCTTCTCCAGGAGCAAAAGTCTTCCACCAGCACACAAATGCCTGTCCCCATCTGGCTCCACCAGTCTGTACCCTAAGGCTTTCACCACCTGGAGCTGACCCTGGAGACAGCCTCATCACCTTCCACTCCACTGAGCAGACTCAGTGCTCACCACCCCCAAATTTCTCAAGAAGGGTCTCCTGACATCCTCAACCCTCCGCCCAGGAGGTAGCAATGGCCTCATCCCTCCTGGTCCTCCAAACTGCCGTGCAGATTGCTGGGTGGGGCCTGCTGGAAAGCACACCCATTCTCTTCCACAGGCATTCCTAACTATGAGCAGGGGCTGGACACAGCCTCTCGGACCAGGAGAGCTGGGTTGGAGATGTTTTGTTTTGTGGCTTGACATCAAGCCAGCTACACTAGCCTCAAACTCAGCATGTAGCACAGGCTCCTCCCTCCACCTCCCTCGTGCTGTAGTTACAGGCACGGACCATTACTGATCTATACAGCGCTGAAGGCGGAAGCCAGGGCCTGGTGCATACTAGATAAACCTTACTAACCAGCCACATCCCCAGCCCTGGGTCCAGGTTTTAATGCAGCGTGAAGTCCCTGGGTGAACATCCTACTATGGGATTCAGTCTGTTACCATAAAATGGAGACTGTGATTCTCTTGTATCTTGGGATTCGTTTGAGGATGAAATGAGATAAGGGAATAGGGGAATTTTTATTAGGGAGAGAAAAAAAACAACAAAGGTTAGAGGTTAATAAAGAGGGTGGGGACCAGAGAGATGGCTCAGGGTTAGGAGTATATGCTGGTCCTGCAGAGTACCCCCAGCCTCCACACCAGGCTGCTCACAGCCGCCTGTAACTCCAGCGTCTTCAGGGCTCTGCAGGTACCGCACTAACGCCCGCACAGACCTGTGCACGTGTACACACGTGTAGACCGGTGCAGATCTACACACACGCTAACACACGCCACACCTGCACGTGCATAGTTTTCAAAAACCCTCAGGAAAAAAAAGAAATCCAAATGGAGCTGGATGTGTGCTGGCACACACCTTTAATACCAGCACTTGTGGAAGCAGAAGCAGGCGGAGCTCTACGAGTTCCAGGCCAGCCTTGTCGACAAAGTGAGTCCAGGACAGCCAGGACTACACAGAGAAACCCTGTCTTGAAAAAACAAAACAAAAAAAGAAGCAAGAAACCCAGATTGGTGTGTGTGTGTGTGTGTGTGTGTGTGTGTGTGTGTGTGTGTGTGTGTTTCTCACACTCCAGCCTCCAGGCTGCCAGGCCCCCTTTGCAGAGACAACCTCTTTTTATAGGAACATTCAGTATTTGTGCAGACTAGGAAGAAATTGGGTCTCCACTCATGTTATCTTGGGGCACCAGAGCGCACTGTGCAGATGGCTTCTGGACCTGCAGCATTCCATTGCAGGACATCCCCAGACCCGTGAAGCCAGGACGCAACCAACAGTTTTCGGCCTCTGGCTCTGTGGACAGGGCTGCAGTGAACATCGCCATGTTTGCTGCACGTGCCTGAGGCTGTGGTAGAGAGTCCCGGAAGTACCAGGGCTAGATCAAAATCTTCTTGATGTTGAACTGTTACCAGGTTGCCCGGGAAAGAGAGTGTATTAGGTGAGGCCAGCAAGACAAGTGGGTCTTCCTCGATTTCCCCACCACCTCAGCTGTTATTGACTCTTTTGGTCTTTGCCAGTCTGTGAGGTGAGGTTGTATCTTAAAGTCTGGATTTGCGTTTATGTCATTCTGGGCACCTCCTCCATCACCTCCCCTCCCCTCACAGGCTCCCTCTGCTCCTTCCCAAGGCTCATCACCCTTCCCAATGGCGTCCTCCAGATCCTGGATGTCCAGGACAGTGATACGGGCTCCTACCGCTGTGTGGCCACCAATTCAGCCCGCCAACGCTTCAGCCGTGAGGCCTCGCTCAGTGTGGCCCTTAGAGGTATGGGGACAGGAAACCTGGGGATCTCCAGGTCTGGGTCTTCAGAAAGCTGATTGGGTAGTAGTTCTACACGGGATAGAACTGGGGTTTGGGACCCAAGGCTCCAACTTGCAGTGGGGGGTGGCTTCTTTTCTTATGGAATATCTGTTTCCTAGGGTTGAACAGGGACTGGTGAGCAGGCAAGGCATCAAAGGAGGGGCGTCAATGCCCAGCAGTATCTGGTCCCTTCTGCCCCTCCAGGTGCCCTAAGGACTCTGGGCAGGTGGGAGTGCACCCCCAATCTCCTTCTGCCAGTCTTGTTCCTTGCCACGTGTGCTCTGGTCCTTTTCTGCCTTTCTTTTTATTTTTTTCTTCAATTTTTTACATTTGTTTCATGTGTTCATTTACAAGTCCCGGGGCACTTGTGAGCAGAGAATGGTTTGTGGAAGTCTGTGGTCTCTGTCCACTGAGTGGGTTCCTGGGATCTGACTTATGTCATCAGGCTTGGTGGCAAGCATCTTTAGCTGGTGGGCTGTTTTAGAAGTCCTTTCCTGCCTTTCTTTAAAAAGCTCCTGCCAGGATAAGGTAGTAAGAAGGGCGCTGTTTTAGGGGTCAGGAAGACCTGTTTTGAATCCTGACGCTCCTCACCATCTGTCTGACCCTGAGCCAGGAATGGAAAGTGTTTGGTACTCAGCTGCTGCTCAATAGATCTCATTGCAAGCCTCCCCCAAGGTCGCGCTCAGCTGAACCATGCCCTCCCCTGGCTGGTTTCATCCTCTGTCCCTGAGCTTCTCTGGGCTGCGGCTCTCTCAGGCACTGGATCTCTGCCTCCCCCTGCCGAACAAACAAGGTGTTCACCATTCTGCCGCAGGGAGAGAGTTTATTGGACAAGAAATGCAACGGGAAGCTTCCTGGCTGAAAGTGGGAGCCCACCTCTTGGTTTTACACGTAGAACCTCAAGGCACTTTGAGAAGAGATCTGCCTAACTCACATCTTATAGGCAGTGTTAGATCTAGAACTGAGTGCTGAGTCCAAGGCAGATGTTGGGCCAGATTTGGGAAGGAAGTATGGGAGGAGGTTCAGTAATTTGGGAGATTCATTTGTGTCGGAGAGCATTTTTCTGACTCTGAGAGAGAGCTCTAAGATGCAGACAGCTCTGCTGGGCTTGGCAGCTGCTTCCCTCTCCCGACAGAAGGAGCCACAGTGTCCCAGCGACCCCGTCCTCCTTTCTTCTCTACAGGGTCCTTGGAGGGCACCAGGGCCCAGGATGTGGTCATTGTGGCAGCTCCAGAGAACACCACGGTGGTGTCCGGACAGAGTGTAGTGATGGAGTGCGTGGCCTCTGCTGACCCCACGCCTTTTGTGTCCTGGGTCCGACAGGGTGAGTGCAGAAAGAGGAGAGTGGGGCTGGGAATGGGCAGGGTGGTACAGTAACTCACAGGCTCCAGCTTGGGAGCCTCTACCTCAAGAGAGGAGAGAACTGACTCCACAAGGTGGTCTTCTGACCTCCATAAGCACATGCAAGCATGTACACACAATCACGTGATAATAAAGTCTAAAGAAGGTTGTATTAAAGCCTGGTGGTGGTGGTGCTTGTCCTTAATCTCAGCACTGGAGAGGCAGAGGCAGAATCTGTGAGTTCCAGCCCAGCCTGGTTTACAGAGCAAGTTTCAGGACAGCCAGGACTAGACAGAGAAACTCTGTCTTGAAAAACCAGAGAAAGAGAGATTAAATGTCTGCCCTGCCCACCATTGTCTAACCACTTCCCATCTGCCTTTCCACATAGGGATCAGAGTTACCAGGCTGCTGTGGTGTGTGTGTGTGTGTGTGTGTGTGTGTGTGTGTGTGTGTGTGTGTGGTGGGGTCCTCGGGACAGTCTCAGCAGCCTGCCCCTTTTCTGTCTCCAGATGGGAAGCCTATCTCCACGGATGTCGTCGTTCTGGGCCGGACCAATCTACTCATCGCCAGGGCGCAGCCGCGGCACTCTGGTGTCTATGTCTGCCGGGCCAACAAGCCTCGCACCCGCGACTTCGCCACTGCTGCCGCTGAGCTCCGGGTGCTGGGTGAGGGCTGGAGCTGTGCGGTGCCAGGGACCGGTGGGCGGTAGAGGGATGAGGGCGGTCCTAGAAGGTGAAACGTGGAGGGGGTCGGCCTGCGACGAGCCTTTATTGACTAATGGTGACTACTGGAGCACTGGACTCCGGAGCGGGAGGAAGGAGTGGAGTAGAGGCGGGTGTGTAAGGCTTGCCTTGGGTGATGGGGGTGAGAGGGTGGGCGAGCAGAGCGGGATGCGGCTATGGGAGGGACAGGGGAATGGGCTGAGGGGTGGCAGCGCTTGGAAAGCTGTGGCAGGAGTGTGAGTTCGATGCCAGCCCCAGCAGAAGAGTTGAGGCCAGCTAGAGGGCGAAAAGCGAATCTCAACACAAACTTAATAAACAACAATCAACCAAAAAAAAAAAAAAAAAAAAAAAGACAGCTGGGCTGATGCTCAGTTAGGCAGATCGGAAATTCAAGGCCAGTGTAGGCTACAAAAGACCTTGTCTCTACACAACAGAAAACTGGGGGCCGGGCTCGCTGAGGGCTGGAGTAACTGCTGTGGACAGGAGGCACTGGGGAGGAGACAGTGAAGTTAGAGCTGGAAATCTGCCAGACGGGCGCTGGAGGAGGAGGAGGAGCCGGGAATGGGCGGGACGAGGAGGCAGGCAGATGGATTCGAACTGGGCCCGGGTGACGAGGGGAGAGGACCTCGTTGGGAGGAACCGACCGTCTTGTCGCGTCTCTCTCCTGCCCACAGCGGCCCCCGCCATCTCGCAGGCGCCCGAGGCGCTGTCGCGGACCCGGGCCAGCACCGCGCGCTTCGTGTGCCGCGCGTCCGGGGAGCCACGGCCCGCGCTGCGCTGGCTGCACGACGGGGCCCCGTTGCGACCCAACGGGCGCGTCAAGGTGCAGGGTGGCGGCGGCAGCTTGGTCATCACTCAGATCGGCCTGCAGGACGCCGGCTTCTACCAGTGCGTGGCGGAGAACAGCGCGGGAACCGCGTGCGCCGCTGCGCCCCTGGCGGTGGTGGTGCGCGAGGGCCTGCCCAGCGCCCCGACCCGGGTCACGGCCACGCCGCTGAGCAGCTCCGCTGTGCTGGTGGCCTGGGAGCGGCCTGAGCTGCACAGCGAGCAGATCATTGGCTTCTCCCTTCACTACCAAAAGGCAAGGGGTATGTCTGCTAGCGACCGAGGGACCCCGAGCAGGGCAGGCGCGGGTTGAACGACGGAAGGCTGCCTAGTGGTGACTCCTGCAGGTGGTGGGGAGCGATGGGAAAGAGTCCAGCGAGGCGGTGGCCTTCAGGCTAGCGGCAGGGTTCAGAGTGTGCGCACACTCCTTCCCCGAGAGGATGCTTCTCCTTATGGGGCTAATGGAGCCATCATCTTTCACCCCAGCTGACTAACAGCCGTGGGCGTTACCTCAGTTCAGCACGGGGAACTTCCTGACCTTCTCTGGAGTTAATACAGTGGGTAAATTAGGTGACAGGGGCATTCATAGCCGCCGCCCTAGATCGTCAGCGGCAATTTAGCTATACATAGGCCAGTAGGGTCTCCAGCCTGAGTCCTGCCGATTAGACACGGAGTGGGCTGTGACAGTTCCTTTGTCCCCTGTGCCACCTCCTCAGGCGTGGACAACGTGGAGTACCAGTTCGCAGTAAACAATGACACCACCGAGCTACAGGTTCGGGACCTGGAACCCAACACGGATTATGAATTCTACGTGGTGGCCTACTCCCAGCTAGGGGCCAGCCGGACCTCCAGCCCGGCCCTGGTGCATACACTGGATGACGGTAGGGCCTCTGAGCCTGCAGTGGCCTGGGGCCCAGAGACACTCTCCCCCCGGGACAGTGTACCTCAAGGCCCTCGCCCCTGCCTTGTGCCTCTGTCATGCCCTGTAAAGGAGCGGGCAGGTTCTTCTTCCCAGTGCAAAATGGGGAAGCTGAGGCTCAGAAAATGAAAGTGACTTGCCCAAGGTCAGTAGGACAGCTGGGACTAGAGTCCAGCTCTTGTGAGTCCCCGTATCATGCGACCCTGACACCCACTGGCTATAACCACTCCTGGGCCACACTGTCCGCCAGCCTGGGGTAGGAAGGATGTATCCTCATCCTCTAGCTTGGGGCTCCCCTGAGAGGCCCCTTTCCTCCCTCAGATCCTGGGCCCACTTCTGACTTGCTGTGTGACCTGGGCAAGTCACTTCCCCGCCGGTGGCGTGGAGCTCACGCCAATGTTCTTCTGTTTCAGTCCCCAGTGTGGCACCCCAGCTCACCCTGTCCAGCCCCAACCCCTCGGACATCAGGGTGGCGTGGCTGCCCCTGCCCTCCAGCCTGAGCAACGGACAGGTGGTGAAGTACAGGATAGAGTACGGTTTGGGAAAGGAAGGTGAGTGGGACGGGGCAGTGTGGAGTCGTCGGTGGGGGGGGTTCCCACCAGATGGGGGAGTCTGTGGGAGTGGGGCCCAGGTGGGGCACATGTAAGAGAGCAACGGGAGATTAGAGAGATAGCTCAGTGTGTAAAGCACTCGTGCAAGCCCAAGGACCTGAATTCAATAAGCCTGGCATGGCGGTGGTGCCTGCCTTAATCCCAGTGCAGGGGAGATGGAGACAGAAGGACCCCCTGAGCTCACTGGACTAAATGTTAAGTTCTGGGCCAGTGAGAGCCCCTGTCACAAAAGAGAAGGTGGACCATTCCAGAGAAATGACAGCAGAGTCGTTTGTCATCTGACCTCTCCATGTCTGTGCACACACATGTACCTGCACACATTCGAACACTCACACTCCTGGACACACACACAGTGTTGGGAGGCAGTAGAGGAAAGGGGAAGACATAGGGGACCAGTAGCTTGAGCACAGGGAGCAGGTGCCATGTGTATGAGTGGAGCCTCTGACTCAGTTTCCTTTCTTTGAAGCAAGCAGCTCACCTAGTTGAGCCTTAGAGCCCTTCTAGTTTAAACACCTGGGAAGAGGTGGGAGGTTAGAGGGCACGTGGGGCATGGACTCGTCCTGCTGGGGAGAGGGTGCTGGTTGGGGGGGGGGGGGTAATGTGGTTCTGAAGGAATGGAGAGGTGAGAGAGCGGAGTGGCTAGGGTCAGAGTAAAGCTAAAGAGAGAGGCAGGAGGCTGATCCAAGGCAGCAGTCAGGGCTCCTGACACCAGGTGCTGTTGGGTGCCCTGAGCTGGTCCTCAGGCCGCACAAGGAGCGTGTCCTGGCTGTTGTTGGCAGTGCACAGGGGAAAAGAAGGTCATTTTTTGGTCTTTCCATGTTGAACCAAGGCCAGGGGGCTTCAGCAGCTGGAGGCAGAGGTCCCAGGGTCACCCTGAAGGCGTGGGCCTGCCTCCATGCTGAGGGCTCAGTGCCTAGAGGACCTATGGGGCCTGAAGTGGAAGAGTCAGGGTGGTAAATTTAGAGATCATGGTCCCCAATAAAGGACACCCAGCAGCCTGTCCTTTTTGTCCCAGAAGATCAAGTTTTCTCTACTGAGGTGCCTGGAAATGAGACACAATTTACGTTAAACTCACTTCAGCCAAACAAGGTGTACCGAGTCCGGATTTTGGCTGGCACGGGAGCTGGCTATGGAGCGCCTTCCCAGTGGGTGCAGCACAGAACACCTGGCACGCACAACCAGAGCCACGGTACGGAGCTACAGGGGCAGCCCGGGCGGTGGGTACAGGTGCCCTGTGCCCCCACCCTCAAACTGGATGCATCAGGGAGGCCTGGGCGTGGAAGTGGAGGGCTGGGCTCAAATGTGTCCCCATTCTTCTGTGACCCTGACAGCCCCTCATATCCCTAAAGCTTCATTACCACCAAGGGTGGCAGCAGGGTTCATAGTGTGTCACACACAGAGCAGCTGGCACAGGATGGGAGCTCCTTGCGTTGAGAATATGCTCATTTGGTTGCGTGCCTGCCTAGCACACACAAAGCCCTAGGTTTGATCCCCAGCGCTGCACAAACCCAGCAGGGTGGCACAAGCCTGTGGTCCCAGCACAAGGATCAGAAGTTCAAGGGCGGCCTCACCTGCATAGTGAATTTGGGAGCAGCACGAGATGCATGAAGCTCCATTTCAAAGAAAGGAAGGAACTCATTAAACACAGCTGGCTTTGCCAAGAGGCCCAAGAGTAGAGTGACTAAATGCCTACAAAGCTGGCACCACACTCAGACACTGGGCAGGTTAGCTGACTTTCTGAGCTCACTTTCTCTCTGGATTGTAGAATTATAAGAATGAAGGAAAAATATATACAAGGGCTGCCAACATGGCCCAAGTTAGTAAAGGGGCTTGCTCCTTTTTCTAGGAGATCAGACTCCCATTGTCTCCCCAGAATTTGTATGGTAGAAGGGGAGAAATGAATCCACAACTTGTCCTCTGGCTGCCATATTCATGCACATAAATAAAATAAATAAATAAATAAATAAATAAATAAATAAATAAATAAATAAATAAATAAATACGTAAGTAAGTAAAGAAATGCTTCAAAAATTTTTTTATAGCCAGCTCTCTATTCTTGGGCTCCAAGTAGTGCTTCTCAGGCTGATGGGCTCAGACTTCCCTTCATGGCCTGATTTACTGCTTCAAGAGACCTGCGTGGGCCTCTTGTGCACGCACCGCAGACGCTCCAGCGCAGTTAACATGCAGTGCTCAAGCCCACCAGGTGGTGGCAGAATGGAGCAGTAGGGAAAGCCCAGGCACAACTCCTCGCTGTGCCTTGCTCCTCCTCCCTGACCTCCCTCTTCCCTTGTCCCCATCATCTTCCCGTGCCCCCAGTCCTCTTTGCCCCTGCAGAGCTGAAGGTGAGGGCAAAGATGGAGTCCCTGGTGGTGTCATGGCAGCCGCCCCCTCACCCCACCCAGATCTCTGGATACAAACTCTACTGGCGTGAGGTGGGGCCGGAGGAGGAGGAGGCAGACGGTGGGCGCCCTCCAGGGGGCCGTGGAGACCAGGCTTGGGACGTGGGGCCCGTGCGGCTCAAGAAGAAGGTGAAGCAGTATGAGCTGACCCAGCTAGGTGAGCCGGCCAGGGCTCGGGAGGGTCTTGTGCTCCGGGCAAGCTGGGTGCAGGGAGAGTGACCCTCGCGCCTTCCCCAGTCCCTGGCAGGCTGTACGAGGTGAAGCTCGTGGCTTTCAACAAGCACGAGGACGGCTACGCGGCTGTGTGGAAGGGCAGGACGGAGAAGGCGCCCACGCCAGGTGAGGGGAGGCAGCAGGGTCTCAGAGCCTCCTTGGCTTTGCCCTTACCAGCCGGCAGGCCACCCAGCCCATCCTCCTGGGCAGGAGCCCTGGTGCCCCCTCATTCTCAGGCTGAACTGGGCCAATGAGGAAGAGAAACACACATGTTTGATGAGTCGTGTCTGGCGCCAATTTTAACCTTTAGACGCTTTTTAAAATCACATCCACCAATCCCACAACATCCACCAGATTATCCCACGATTCTTTTGTTGTTGTTGTTTGTTGTTTGTTTTCTGTTTTTCAAGACAAGGTTTCTCTGTGTAGCCATGGCTGTCCTGGACTCGCTTTGTAGAGCAGGCTGGCCTCGGACTCACAGAGATCCGCCTGCCTCTGCCTTCCAGAGTGCTGGGATTACAGGCCTGCACCACTGCGCCCAGTTTATCCCATAATTCTTAAGCAGGGAGAATATCTTTATGGTTTACCTAAAATAATAATAATAATAATAATAATAATAATAATAATAATAATAATAATAACTTTATGTGTTGGGGTGTTTTGCCTGCGTGTGTGTCTGTCTGTGCTCCACATATGATCTTGGTGTCTCTTGGGGCCTAAAAAGGGCTCCACATCTGCTGGGACTAGAGTTATAGTCAGTTTGGAGCTGTCATGTGAGTGCTGGGAATCTAAGCCAGATTTTTGGGGGGTCAGTTTTGGTTTGGTTTGGTTTGGTTGTTTTGAGACAGGGTTTCTCTGTGTAGTCTTGGCTGTCCTGGAACTCACTGTGTAGACCAGGCTGGCCTGGAGCTCACAGAGATCCACCTGCCTCTGCCTCCCAAGTTTGTGGGCCACCACAGCCCCGCAAACCCAGATTCTTTCAAAGAGTGGCAAGTGCTCTTCACTTCCGAGCCATCTCCCCAGCTCCTGGGGAGCTTCTGCCCAACCCTCTGCTCATGAGGTTTTAAGGTTTGTTTGTCTGCATGTACTCTTCAGTTTAAAAAAAAGTATTTATTTTTAATTTTTATTACATCTTATTTATTTTGTGTGCACGTATGTGGGTGCTCTTGTGGGGGTGAGAGGAATCTGTTTCTCTTCCACCATGTGGGTCCTAAGGATCAAATTTAAGTCTTCGGGCTTGGTGACAGGTGCCTTTTAGAGACAGGGTTTCTCTGTGTAGCCCTGGCTGTCCTGGAACATGCTCTGTACCAGGCTGGTCTTGAACTCACAGAGACCCACCTGCCTCTGCCTCCCCAGAGTTGGGACTAAAGCCGTGTGCAACTATGCCCAGCAATTTCACAGTTCTTTTTGTTGTTTTTAGAGACAGGGTTTCTCTGTGTATCCTAGCTGTCTTGGAACTTGCTCTGTAGACCAGGCTGGCCTCAAACTTGGAGATTTACCTGCTTCTGCCTCTGGAGTGCTGGGATTAAAGGCAGGCACCAGCTCTGGAGCTAATTTCAGTTTTTGAGAGTGAACTTTATAGATGACAACATCCTGTTACAGTGTCACAAGCGTCAAAGAAGCAAAGGGACCCATCTAAGGGCACACAAAGCCTAGACAAACTAGGCCCAAGAGATCTGACTCCCAAGCAAGGGTTTTTCACTGTGCTGTGCTGCTGTGGCCCTGCTTTGTCACCTTGATGATCCATCTCGACACTCAGTAAGGAGCCAAGAAACCTGGCTTCCGGTTAGTTCATTTCTCATTCAGCAATTATTTTACTAAGTACCTACCACCTGCCTGCTCTGTTCTAGAAATTTAGTGACGAACAACACAAATAAAGTCTCTGCTCTCTTGGAGTTTATCGTATGCCTATCCAACAAACATTTGTCACAAATAGTATACAGTATACCAGAAAGTTTTCTACCTGCTTTGTAAGTATCAACTAATTTAACCTCGTAAGAATCCCCATGAGGGGGCTGGTGAGATGGTTCAGCAGGTGAAGGTGCTCGCTGCAAGCCAGATGACCTGAGTTTGGTTTCCAGGCTCCCCCAAGTTGCCCTCTGACCCCACATGCACAGCAGTACTCCCTTCCCTCCACACGACAAATGCATACATGACTGGGATGGCTCAGTGGCTAAGACTTAAATATTTTAAATAAATAAATGGAAAGAAAGAAAGAAAAAAACCTCCAGACACAGGTACTGTCATAAGGTCCCGTAGGAGGCCTAATGCCAGTTGTGGTATCACACCGCTGCACTGGAGAGGCAGGGGTGGGAGGGTGGAGCTTAAAGGCCAGCCTGGGCTACTACATAGTGAAACCAAGTCTCAACTGCACGGTGGGGGGGAATGAAACCTATAGAGACTGAGTGTCCGCCCCTCCCCACGCTTGGATTCCCCTCCAGACCTGCCTATCCAGAGGGGACCACCTCTGCCTCCTGCCCACGTCCACGCAGAGTCAAACAGCTCCACCTCCATCTGGCTGCGGTGGAAGAAGCCTGACTTTACCACAGTCAAGATTGTCAACTACACTGTCCGCTTCGGCCCCTGGGGGCTCAGGAATGCCTCCCTGGTCACCTACTACACCAGGTATCAGCCGGGGGGGGGAGGGGGGGCAGCAGGCATGATAGACTGCCGGGCTCAGCGGAGGCAGGGGCACACCCAGGACCTCCACAGATGTTTCTTCTCTGACCGCTGACCAGGGTGTAGCAATAAGAAGGGAGAGTTGTCTGGTCCCCTTCCCCTAATGACACTGTGGGGGACCCTGCCCTCCCATCATGCGGAAGGTAGCCCGAGGAGCTCTGGTCTGAGAAAACACCCTGCTGCAGAATAACTTGGGTTAATTCAGGAAAGCTTCCAGGAAGAGAGAAGGATCAGACGTGGAGTAGCGTATATCCGAGCTCTCTATGGGTTGCTGGCTGTGTGGGGGAGGTGAGGTTAGCGGCACCAAGAAGTAGCTCCTCCAGGCTGGGGCCGGCTGGAGGCAGGGGTTTAATGTGGGCTTCTCCCTGGCTTGAAGCCTGTCTGAGGGCGCTCACTCTGTCTCTCCCCCGAACCCCAGCTCTGGAGAAGACATCCTCATTGGCGGGCTGAAGCCATTCACCAAGTATGAGTTCGCGGTACAGTCCCACGGCGTGGACATGGATGGGCCCTTTGGCTCCGTTGTAGAGCGCTCCACCCTGCCTGACCGTGAGTATCCGCCTGCACGCCCCCCACCCACGTGCCACAGTTTGCTGGGCCTAGTGAAGGAGGAAGAGGAGTGCCTCTGACTCTTGGACCCCTCCTCGGCGCTGCAGGGCCTTCAACCCCACCCTCTGACCTGCGCCTGAGCCCCCTGACACCATCCACCGTCCGGCTGCACTGGTGTCCCCCGACGGAGCCCAACGGCGAGATCGTGGAGTATCTAATTCTCTACAGCAACAACCACACCCAGCCTGAGCACCAGTGGACGCTGCTCACCACGGAGGGTAAGCATTCCCACCCCCGCCTTCCTCCTCCACCCTCTCAGGAGACCAGCTTAGCCATGAGAACGTTGGGGCTTCCGTCTGGGTGTGCAGTTGGCTTGCTGGTGTTGCGTTGGCTCCCTGCCTGCCCCATTCCACCCGCCGCCCCGCTCTCCGCTTCCCACCACAGGAAACATCTTCAGTGCAGAGGTACATGGTCTGGAAAGTGACACTCGCTACTTCTTCAAGATGGGGGCCCGCACAGAGGTGGGGCCTGGGCCCTTTTCCGGCTTGCAGGCTGTGATCACCCTCCAGGAGACAGTCTCAGGTACCAGGCAGGGGAAGGAGGCCCCTGGGGCAACCTGGGACCCCGAGACCCCTAGATTGCCTCTCAAGGCCCGCCTTCTGGAAACTGCATTGTCTTCACTTTGGAGCTCAGAGGGGTGGGATGGGGACAGTGACAGCTTGGTAGAGGGACCGTTAAAGCTTTGAGAGGTCTTTAATTTATTATTTTATAGTGTGTGTGTGTGTGTGTGTGTGTGTGTGTGTGTGTGTGGCGCAATGCACATGTGAAGGTCAGAGGACATCAAAGATGGTTTCTTGGGGATTTTGCTTTGCTTGGAGGACTGGCTGGTGAGCTCATGAGTTCTGTGAAGGGGCAGTGAACAGCAGGCTGGATAGAAACTCGAGGGTTCAATCAAGATACAAAATAAGAACCAGGGCCCCTTAACTGAAAATCATTACATATGATTTTCTATGTAATCACATATGATATGAAGATGGGGCCAAAGAGGCATTAACCACACATAGGACTGAGGAGATGCTCAGTTGGTAAGATGCTGCCACACAAGCACAGGGACCTGAGTTCAAATCCCCACCAGCCGTGTAAAAGCTGGGTGTGGCTGCTTATGCTGTAATCCCAGGGCTGCAAATGCAGAGACAGAGAATCTCTGGGGCTGAGGGTGATTGAGGAAGTCACTTGATGAGGACCTCTGACCCCGGCACAACACATACATGCACTCACGTACCTCCTCACAAGAAATCATACATACGTCACACCTATGCGTGTACACACCATATCTAGAGCCCTTCTAGGTTATACAGATATACACCACCAAAGCCCTTGTTGGCAGGTGGACAGATACCTCACTGAAAAGCTGATGCTGTGGTTTTGTGGGGAGACCATGGTGGGATCAGTGTGAGGCCCAGTGAGGTCCTGTGGCTTTCTACACTCCAGTCAGAAGGACGTGAGCTTCCAAGCCAGGTGCGACGGTGCACACTCTGATCCCGGCACTGAAGAGGCAGAAGCAGGCAGACCTCTGAGCTCGAGGCCAGCCTGGTCTACAGAGGGAGTTCAGGATATCCAGGGACACACAGAGAAACTATGTCTCAAACAAACAAAAGTATCCCGAAGGGTGAGACGGAGGCCGGCCGTCTCCTGCGGAAGCCCGAGCGCTGTGCCCTGCTGTCCCTGACCTCTCTGCCCTCCTCCCCACCAGACTCCTTGGATGTGCACTCTGTCACAGGCATCATTGTGGGCGTCTGCCTGGGCCTTCTCTGCCTCCTGGCCTGCATGTGTGCCGGCCTACGACGAAGCTCCCGCAGGTGAACTCAGGAACCGTCAGGACTAGGAGGGTTACCAGAAAGGGCTGCAGAGTGGACAGAGGAGGGTGGACCCTGTTGCTCCTGGAGCCCGTTGAATTTAGGGCCAAGGAGGTGGGGCGGAGTTCAGCACTACATTTGCCCAGCTTGGATGAGGGTGTGCTGTCCGCAGAAGCACAAAAACAAGTCGATAATTTATTAGGATTCTGAGATGAAGGACTGGGGTGCTGTTGTTATGAGAATGTGGAGTAAGCTAGGGGAGCCCCAGTCTCCCCATCTCAGCAAGAGCTAGGTATACCTGTAAGCTTCCTTGCAGGCTTCCAGCAGCCTGCATGGAGAAGCCCCACATCTCCATACAAGGAAGGGTGGATCTGAGGGGTCAGGCTGGATAGACTGTACTCTGGGTTTTCTGGTTGCACGCACACACCAGGGAACCAAATCCACTCTTGTCTGACCCATAGTTTTGCTCCTGTTCTCAGGGAGGCCCTCCCGGGGCTGCCCTCCACAACCACCCCTGGGAACCCAGCACTGTACTCCAGGGCTCGGCTCGGGCCCCCCAGTCTCCCTGCTGCCCATGAGCTGGAGTCCCTCGTGCACCCTCACCCCCAGGACTGGTCTCCACCGCCCTTGGATGTGGAAGACAAGGCGGAAGTCCACAGCCTTATGGGTGGCAGCAGTTCTGATTGCCGGGGCCACTCCAAGAGAAAGGTGAGGCTGGAGCAGAGGCTCGCATGGACCCGTTCCCAAGATAAACACCAGGGGGCGTCAGAGCACAACTTCTGACATGAGACGCACCTCAGGCTCTGAGCCAGCCAGAGAAACTGTCCATACCACGTGGGAGGGCCCCAGAGCTGTATTTGCTCCTCGCTAATCTAGTGTGGGGAAAAGAGGCTGATGGGTGTGGCTGTGACCAAGCAGGGCTGGCCCAGGATAAGGTGAGGCCGATAGGCCAGGTCCCTTGGGAGCTGCAATGGTGGCACACCTTGATGAGGTGGCCATCCGTCCTCCCATCTCTCCCTCTTCCTCTTCAGTAAGGAAGAGTCCGCTAGGCTTGGGAACTTCGGGGTTTGCACATCAAGTGTTGTTGACTCCGCCCTTACTGTCTACACCTCAGTTCCCACCCCGCCCAGGGGAGGGGCTTTATCGTGGAACCTGTCTGAGATAACAGGGGTCCACCTGTCTAGGCCTTGCATGTCCCTAGTGTCTTCTCCCTTCTCTGCAGATCTCCTGGGCTCAGCCAGGGGGGCCGAGCTGGGCAGGCTGTGACCTGCCCCAGGGTAGTGGTCCTAGGCCGCCTCTGACCCGTGCCCTGCTGCCTCCAGCCGGAACTGGGCAGACGCTGTTGCTGCAAGCTCTGGTGTATGATGCCATAAAGGTCGGTGTCCGTGAGAGGGAGGGGGAGGCAGGAGGGAAGGACCCCTAGGCCTTTCTGGGGACAGCTTCCAAAGGGGAGTGGGTGACAGGAAAGCCAGTTTGGGAACAGTTCCTTCTCTCCCTGGACCTAAGTGACCTGCAGCAGAGTATCTGAAGGTGGCTTAACCTGTCAGATACAGTCAGGCCTTCCTGCTCTTCATGGAGGTCCTGTGTCTGGCACTTTTAGGTAGCCTGAGTGAGGGCAAACAGGTGACATTCTGTGTGTCCTGCCTCTGCCAGACCTGAGCGTCATCTTAGGTGGGGCAGTGCTTGTGTGTACCCCGAATACGCTGGTCATTTTTCTAAAGACCGTCTTCAGCGACGCTCACCTCACCTTTTTTTCTCCGATCCGCCAGAGCAACGGGAGAAAGAAGCCGCCCTCGGCATGCAGGAATCAGGTGGAGGCCGAGGTCATTGTCCACTCCGACTTCAGTGCATCCAAAGGATGTCCTGACCTCCACGTCCACGACCTGGATCCTGAGGAACCCCTGCCTTCCACCTCTGGTGATGTGGCTCTGTCTCAAGGAGCACTCTGCCCAGGCAGGGAGCTGGAAGGGTACGAACAGGCAGCCATGGGACCAGACCGGCTCAGCTGCTTGCCAGAGGCAGCCAGTGCCCCCTGCTCCGGCCCAGACCTCCAGCCCAGCACGGTGGTAGAGGACACCCCTGGGAAAAGCTGCCAGCCCAAAGCCCTGTGCCCTCTAGCAGTCAGCCCAAGCCTCCCCAGGGCCCCTGTCTCCTCTGCTCAGCTCCCCTGAGCAAAAGGCTGATACGGCCCAGGGACTTGGCATGCAGGGCCACACGTGTGTGAACTAGAGATACCAACGAGCCGTGCGGAGCCTCTTAGCATCCCTTGGCTGGGGTGGAGGAGAACGTTACTGACTCCCTAATATTCAGCACCACACGTGGATTACTGGAAGAACTTGAGGCACAGCTCTGTGGGATGGACCTGTAGGGGAGGGGGTTGGGCTGGGAAACCTCACCCTCTGTAGCAGTCACTGCGGCCTACCTGGCCCTCCATGGCATGATGGTGTACTAGTGATCAGTGCCAGCCCTTCAGCCATAGCCTTGTCCCCCAGCCTTTATTACACTCTGAGAGTGTCCCTGGTGCCGCGTCTACGAAGACAGCCCCAGCCCCTCTGCTGTCAGCTGGGCTGAGCGGAGTGCCAGTCAACTCCACAGGCCTACGCAGCAGTCTGCAGCAGCATGGCCGTCACACCCCCGCCCCCACCCCTGGCCTCCTGAGGTTGGGATGGCTGGGTGAGCCCAGCTCACCTCCCCTCTCCTTTGAGCAACTCGGTACCTAATTTTGTAATTTGGGAAGTGCCTGGTTTGGGAAATCTTCTTTCTCTCCCTGTCGCCTCTTCTGTGCCCTTCATTGTTCCAGTGATCTGTCTCACGTCATCTGGCTCCCTTAGCCTGGGGCCCTTCCCTTTCTTGTGACGCCTCTTGTTTCCTTGCTGCTGTTGCCCATTCTGTCTGTCTCCCGTGCTTGTCCTAGTGTCACATGTTTCTCATCCCTGAGTTTAACCTATGCACCCTTCCCTAACAACATGACTACCTCATGTCTGCTTCAGACCACAGTGTGACCCCCGAGTCCCCACGGCTCCCCTGCCAGCCCCCCTTGCTGGGCAGATGACCCCCTCCAGGTAGATCTGGAGAGGACCTTCTGGCTGCCCTGGCTGCTGCATCCTTGGTATCGAGATGAGAAGGTTTCCTATGGAAGAGATGGCTCCAGGCTGCACCAGGGAAGCCTTGAGAAGGGGCAGGAGAGGAAACAGAGAGGCTGAATAGCATGACTGCCACCCATCTGCACGGAGAAATGGGCGCTTTTGCCAGGCAGGCTTGCGGTCCTGGCTCAAGCAGAAGGGAGGGAGGAGAGGGGAATTACAGGAGCCGCAGTGACCCAGCTCCCTGACCCTCAAGCCTTGAACCTGTCTGGATTCAGGGTGACAAAGAGTTTCCTCCAAGATGCTAGAAGGGGAGGTCTTTGCACAGGAAAAGGGTGGCTGGTTCATTTTGGTTTCTTCCTCTTTAAATTAAATCCAGAAATCATCTTACTACATAGAGACAATCCTGACTTGTATTTCCTGGCTCATGAAAGCAATGGTATCTATTTGAATTCTCACCTCAGCCATGCTCCAGGAGTATAGAATATGGGGTTTTTTTCTGTCTGACTGCACATCTTTTTATTTTAACGCCAGCACATCAAGTGTTAACTCTGGCTTCTGGGCCAAATTAGAAATAGCCAGTCTATCTGTTTTTTAAAATGTCTTTCAGCAGAGTTACAGCCTCCTCAGCCCCTGAAAGCATCTGTGTTTATTACCCTCGTGTGTCACTCACGTTTGACACCTCACCTACATTTCCTCCTCCTCCCCTCTTCAGCTAGCCTATGATAACACTAAAGATTATTAACGTTGGTTTCATATCTCGTTAAAGACAGGATTGTCACTTGAACTACTTCTATAGCATTCAGAGTGGCCACGGCCAGCACCACTGTGTGTTTCTTCGTTGCTCTGAAGGTCAAAAGCCTCATTTTATTTTGCTGGTTATATTTTTCCCTTGCCTTGAATGAAGCAGCCGTGTTCACAGTAGGCTCCTTCGTGCTTCGCCACACAGTCACATCTCATGTTCTTGTTTAACAAGCACTGAGGTTCTGGTTTAAATTAAATAGCCGCAAATGAGACAATTTATAACCCATTAGGTTGGGTGGAAAATTGTTTCTCAAAAGCAAATAAGTAATAAATCTAGTATCTGCCTATAACTCACAGTTGATAAGAAAGTAGCCGTCACTCACTAGCATTCTATATGATTTGGCTTGTGAGTAACTGGGGATGTTAGCTTTGTTTCTTTGTAGCAGCAGGTTTTATTAGAAAAGAGTCATTGGCCTTTTACAGGGTATTAATCCCTTTGTCGCTTGCCATGGATGCCTTAAGTTCCTTTGAGTCTCATTTAAAAAAATCTTCCTTTCCTTGAATCATGACAAGTGTACTCAATACTTACATGCTCGCTTATTTACCCATACTTAGCTTATGCTGTATTATTTAATTGTATTTTCCAGAGTCATGTTTTCTCCTTACAAATATGATATTCTTTAGTGTTACACTAAGGCATTGATTATGTATCTGTCCCTATAATGAATTAATAAACTATTTTCCAGATATGTTGCTCTCTTAACTTTTCTTTAAAGGTGTGTGTGTGTGTGTGTGTGTGTGTGTGTGCGCGCGCATGCACAAGTTTATGTGTACCACATGCGTGGGTGCTCGAAGAGGCCAGAGTGCTTCACAACCCCTGGAACTGGACTTTCCAGTAGCTGTGAGCCATCCAGTCTGGGCACTGAGAACCACGCCAGGTTCCTCTGCAAGAGCTGTTCGCACTGGCAATCGCTGAGCCACCCCTCAGTGTCAAGATATGTTCCTTATGGAACCAAATGACTAGAATTTCCTCCATCTTCCTGGCCCGGGGAATTTGTTTCCTGCCAGCATGGGAAGCAGTAAATTTTGAGAGTTGAGAGAACATGGGCCCAAGGGGGACCAAAACAACAACTAAAGCCTCAGCTGGGTGATGGTGGCATACACCCTTAATTTCAGCACTCTGGAAGCAGAGACAAGCAGATCTTTGAGTTCAAGACCAGTCTGATTTACAGACTGAGTTCCAAGATAGCCAGGGCTACACCGAGAGACCCTGTCTTGAAGAAGAAGAAGAAGAAGAAGAAGAAGAAGAAGAAGAAGAAGAAGAAGAAGAAGAAGAAGAAGAAGAAACCTTGAGGCGGCTTCCCACGAAGTAGGCCCTTAGGAAATAAACACAGACAAAAGCCCTCACAGACACACCCACACAGACACATACATTAAAAACCTTCAAGTTAAGAAAAGGGGAGTGCAAATGTCATTGTGAGGTTGAGCACTTGCCTAGTGTGTGTAATGACCGTTTGGCCACATGTCCACATGTGTACCGTGTGCATGCCTGTGCAGGAAGAGGTTGGAAGAGTGTGTCAGATCACCTGGCAACCTTCTGAAATCATGACATACGGTGTGGCCCATGCATGTGTTCAGCTGACGGAACGCACTGCTCTTGATGCACTCTTGGGCTCACCCTGCAGGCTCTTCACAAATCCCCTCAACTGCGCACATGGTCCTATACATCTCCAAGCTCAGACCCGAGCTCCACACGCCTCAGGATCACAGCTGACAGCTGACAGCTGAAATCTTTAAGGAGCCTAGAAGGTGCTTTTTCACTGGAAGGAATCATGAGCAAGCAAGGCTGTCGTGCCTAGGACCACCCCAAAGTGGCTGGTGGGCCAGGCCCAGAGTTAATTGACAGATCATAGAGAGAGATGCTGCACAGTTTACATGCCGCAGAGTAGCCATTATTTGCATATCACTCTCAGACCAAGGGTTGTGATAAAGAAGAATTAAACACTTGTCAAGATGAATTTAAAATGACAGCAATTCAGGACACCAGTTTGACCTCTCTGGGCTCCAGAGCACGCCAAGAAGGGATGGTTGATGATTCGAGGCCTGCAGGAGGGCATCCCGGGACGGCCGGCTCCAGGGAGGCCCCTTCTTCTGCATTACCTTCCCTGCTTCCTGTAGAGACCTCACTCCTGCCCTTCCTCGATGAATCCTTTTGTGGCAATGGCAGACTGGGGTCCTGCTCTTGAACCTCTTCATTGCTCACAGGCTTCTCAGGCTGATATTAATGTAGATCTGTCTGTGTACAGACGTGATTTCTTGGATATTTATTTGTTTACTTATTTATTTTTGTCTTTTCGAGACAGGGTTTCTCTGTGTAGTCCTAGCTGTCCTGAAACTAGGTCTGTAGACCAGGCCGGCCTCATATTCACAGTGGTCCTGCCTCTGCCTCCTGAGTGTTGGGATTAAATATAGACACCACTATGTCTGGCTTTTTTGAACCTTTTTGTTTGTTTGTTTTTGTTTCCAAGTCAGGGTTTCTCTGTGTTGCCTTGGCTATCCTGGACTCACTTTTGTAGACCAGGCTGGCCTCGAACTCATAGAGACCTGCCTCTGCCTCTTCAAGTGCTGGGATTACTGATGTACCACCGTGCCTGGCTTTCTGAATGTGTTTTAAATTAAAAAAAAAAAAAAAGTACATTTTATTTATTTATTTATTTATTTATTTATTTAGTGTGTGTGTGTGTGCCACTGAGCAAGTGTGGCTGTCTGTCAAAGGACAATTTGCTGTTGGTGTCATTATTTTCCTTCGACCATGTAGGTCCCAGGGACTGAACTCAGCTGGAGAGGCTTGGTGGCAGCTGCCTTTCCCTACTGAACCATCTCTTTGGTCCCAAGCCTGCACGTCTTTACTCAAAGAGTCCAGGGTCAGCCTCCACTGCAGAGTGAGTTCAAGGCCAGGCTGGACTGTGAGAGGTAAGAGAGACTGGAACACTAGAGCCCCACACCCTGTCAGTGAGGACTCCTGTGAGACAGACACTGCCACCGGACTTAAGCACGTCATCCATAGTTTTGATGGCCTAACGCATCAAGTTGGACCCAACACAAGGCTGCACACAGCAGTAAGAGGCCAAGTTTCAAGATCTCTGAGGCGCAGCATACATACGTCTCTCTCCACAGCTGTCTTCCCATGTATGAACTATCAGACACGGCCTGGAGATAGCGCCCGCGACCGTGAGTTCCTGCTGCTCACTCAGCTACCGGGTCATCCGCCTGGCCCTTTGCTCTTAAAGATCTGCAAAGTTGAGCGCGGATAGCGTGGTTTTCAGGTTTCAGACCAGCTCGGTGAGAAGGAGTGGGCTGGACCGCAGACAGAAGCGGCTGGATCTCGGGGTTCTAGGGGCCCTTACTCTTGTCACATTGGGGTTGCCCTTCTCAGATCATCTACCGGAGTGCCCTAACTCACCTCGTTCTAGAGAGGCCAGTCTTGCAGCTCCCCGACCCATCCCTTGAAAAGGACAAGGCGCCTAGAGAATACGGAATCTTTGACAACTTTGAGCAGTTTTTAGGGAATTGTCTGTAAAACAGAGAGCTGGACATTGTGGAAGAGGTCACCGCAGAGGGGTGGGGGAGGCAAAGCCCTTGGCTTTGCGCGATTTTCCGCAGCCGGGACCCTCTCTCACGGCCGTCACTTTCCCAGCCCCTCAAGTCCGGAGTGGCCACGAGGAGCGGATACCCGGCTGCAGCCCAGGTCGGCGCCCGCCGCTCCCGCTGCAGTTCAAAGCGCAGGGGGGCGCGTCCGCCGCGCAGCCGGGAATGTCCGGCCGCTTAAAGCTCTCGCCGGCTCTTTTGTTCCCCAGACCCGGCCTCCGGGGAGAAGGGGCTGGGGGAGGGGAGGGAGGGGGGCGGCGGGCAGGGGAGGAGGGCGGTGCGGGCGCGGGCGGAGTGCGGAGCGCGCACCCCGGGCGCGGCTGACAGATCGCCGCGGTGGGTGCAAGATGGCGCGAGCGGCGCGCCCCGCGATGCCCGCTCCCCGCTAGGACCGGCATGCGGCCCCAGCCTCCCGCCGCCCGGGCTCGGCCCCGGCCCGAGCCGCGGCCCCGGCCCCGGCGCCGGCCCCGCGGGACGCTGTGAGCCC